GTGATTTTACTATTTAGTAAAAGTCCAGGGGGTAATCTCAAAAAATCCATTTAAGTCAACTTGATAGTAGTGAATCGAACGTATAGATGACCGCCATTTAAGAAATTTCATTCGAGGTATGCATGGTTAAACACAGGCTTCCAATCGTTACGGGTTAACGAAAGCAAGCTCTTATGGTTCTACTTTTCTCTCTTGGAATAAAGTGTTCGATTCTTTAATAAAGGATCGAATGCTAACCAATTGATGTGGCGATAAATTTACATATACATCACTTAGTGTAGATGTAGCTGATGAAAATATCTCCACTCAAGAGTACAATTACAAAACCATAAGGAAAGTAAGCTTATTTACTAATGTTTACATATTTCGTTGCGGTTAGAATGAAGGAAACTAACCCAAAAGCTTAAGCTAACATGTTATGTGATAGGAAATGTTGACCATATCATACCTATTTCAATCCAAATTACCTCCTACAAGTGAATCATAAAGTCTCATAATGCTCTCAACATTTGTATTTCTTGTACAAGATGAGTATAAATTAGATCACAAAATATGCTCAGAAACAAGTTGAGTAAACTATGAATTATTATTAACTAAAATTCTATTCATGGGATGAATTTACATAACAATTGCACTGTGGTGGATTAATTTGTTGTTTATGTTAAATCTGGTTCATTTAATATGACTTTTTTAAGAAGCTACTGTCGCTAGTGATAATTAGTTCTTCCATCGTTTTATGATGTGAAATTTGTACCTTGATTTTAACATAAAATTCATCACAACGTGTATTTTCTTGTAAGGGTTTACACTATTTTATAGCAAAATGAAATGTCAAGTAGAAGGTGTGTAGGTTGATAAGAATGGCGGATTTGCTTCTTGGCAACATTAAATACTTTACGGGATAGTTGCGGTTCACAGGAGCAGTGATTATAATGAACATCACGGGGCAACCCGTGAAACTGCTGGATGGAAACTTGGTCAGGACCTGGTTCTTTCCCCAATTATTTACAAACCTGATGCACCTTTTGGAGCTCGCTTTGAAGTATGAAACCCGTCTACTAGAACGAGAATGTATCATTTCACTACGATTATACCTCGTGATGGTCGGGTCCTTTTTGGTGGTAGTAGCTCGCATGGCGGATTTGTGGATACGGGTACACCACATCCAACTTATTTGAGCTTGGAATCCTTCTCTCTATCCTATTTGGATTCGGATTTTGACTTGTTCCACCTGCAAATTGTTTCACCAAAGTCAGAATCCAAGATCAAGTATGGAAGAAGTTTCAACATTCATTTCAGTTCAACGGGACGCTGAATATTAATTTCATTAGGATATAAATGATTTAACCATCACTACACATTCAATGTCCATGAATCAAAGATTACTTGACCTTGACGTTACATAAGTGTCAGATTCATTGGTAAAGCGACGTGGAATTTGATAGTGGGTCCATCGAGTACCACCAATTTGGCGCTTCCTGGATACTATATGTTCTTTTTTGTGCACCAAGATATTTCCAATGCTGGAATTAGGGTCCGATTGCTATAAAACAAATGTGACAAGATTTCAGCTTTACAGTGGTATATACAAATGGTTTCTTTTCATCACAGGATAATAAAAGAGCCAAAGTTATAATTAATTTCAAAGCTTTGTTTTTGTAATGTTCTTATTAAATATATGTTTTTGCAAAATCAATTACATGATCATGTTGTAATCGTACATTAGGGTTGTTTGTGGTTGGTACGTTGCACAACAATTAGCAGCCAACTTTATATCATTTTATGTCGTAAAGGTTTGGGAAAATTGAGATTTGAAGTCAATGGTCTACTCCCTATTGATTACATAAACTAATAAAGTAGAGTTTAATTGTCACCTAATTATCTAATTGTAGCAAATTATGTTATTTAAATTACGTATTTCTTTCGTCAAACAATTCACATTATTAACTTTTATGGAGTAAAAATGTTATGGGATTGGATCAACAAAAAATAAAAAGGACTGACACTTTATGAACAAACTATGTTTCGCTCTTAATTACGTACGTGCGGTGAAGTTCTCATGTTGACAGTCCAGTTTGAACATTTGTGTTCAGTTGAAGGTTGTCAACTCTAGCAGGAACTATATATATTAACTTACTCAATGAAACTTTTGATCGTCCATGGAAATTATCACGGAGGGAGATCGTCTCTATATTTAAAGAATCGTAAGTTTTTTGTCCTTGATGTCTCTCGATGAAGCAAATGCTCACGGTACTTTTTTCTAAGCAAAGCTCGTGTCTGAAGGTTTCTCCACGAGACTTGTTAATGTTAGACATGGTTAAATTTCTACACTTGCATGTAAGATTACTTACCACACTAATTAGCTACCTATTTACTTACATAGTATATACTCATTTGATAGAAAACAATGTTTAAAGTTCAATTTGGAATTTTGAAATGTAGATACAAAATTTATTTTAGGAAATAAGCTTATTAAGTTCATAATTTTTTAATGGGAAGCTCTGAATTAATTAAAATATTAATTGACGTAATATCAACCATTGTAAAAATACCAATTATGTACTTAACCACGTTCATCAAAGTAAATAATTGATCATTTTCCTAAGGTCCACTCCTTATGTGATGCACGCATTTACGGAGGACATATATATTTTTTTTCTTTTTAACCAATTGTTTTGTTTGGACTATATGATTTTTCTTTTTGGTTAGCTATAGGACCATACATCAAATATTGAAAGCCTAGTGATGTAGAAATCAAATATCGAAAGTCTAGTGAATGGTTAGAGTGAAGCATGTTTTCGAGAAAGTAATGTTGTGGCAGATTTTTTAGATTCTTTGACTGTAAGGTGGTCAAGAGGGTGACAAAGACATTATAAGTAGGGGAGTTCACGGACCGGATTGGTCCGGATTGATAGTAATCGGTAACCAAACCGTTCACTATGGTTTTATAATTTGTTAAACCGTAACCGGACCGGTTTGATGTCTAAATCGGACCAATCTAATCCATTATGAATGGATTGGTTTGGGCGGATTGGTGGTTTGGGCTTCTAATTGGGTTTTTTCGTTTTGGGCCAAAAATTGAACAATTTTTTATTATTGTACCTTTTTTGGCCTTTTTTGGAGCTTGGTTTGGGAGAAAAATGGGAGAAAAAAATTTAGTCGGGGGGACTCAAACTCATTCCCTCAACAAAATTTAAGAGTAGGGGGAACAACAAATCCAATCAAACAACTTAACAATTTCGTTATAAGTCATCATCTACAGCTATATATACAAAACTATTATATTCTTATTTAATAATATATATATATATATATATACACGGTCCGGACTAGTTTTCAAATTTCAAATCCACCAGAGTAAGCCAAACCGTGAACACCCCTAATTATAAGTCATCGGATGGTATGATTCTATAGTTAGAATAATTGGTTGTTAAATACTCTATCTATTCTAAAATAAGTGTCCTTAGACAAAGTGCATACTGTTTAAGTAACATTTAATTTCGATATGCAATTACTAAAGTCATCCCTAACCTCCTCATTAAAACAAATAGATGTTATTAATGTTCTACTTTTATAGAGGGTAATTTTGAAAAAAAGTGACAAAATGTGCATCAAAATGTGAGAATAGAACTTATTTTGGAATTTCTCCAATCTGCTAAAATGACACTTATCGTAGAATGGGGAGAGTATTTTATAAGCATTTTGCCTCTTTTTTTGTCTCTAAGATTAAAAATAAATTAAAGAAAAAAATAAACCTTGGCTCATTCACTAGAGAAAAAAAATTTTAAAAAAAAGGAAAAAAAAACAACAATAACAACAACTTGACTCAAACTTGGGAGATAAATGACGACGAGTCCAAACAAAGGAATGTACAACTATTCTATTAAAAATCAAATCCTTGCAAAGAAAGAAAAATACATTTGTTTTTTACCAAAAGAAGAAGAGTATATAGCTATTAAAAATCAAATCCAGTTAGGCATAGAGAGAGTCTCCTATTAAAAAACTTTCAACTTTCGTTAGAGAAGTAAACAAAAAAGGGGGAGATAATAGCATAATTATACGAGATTAAGAAAATGAGAACAATTCAAATAGAGTAATTGTTTCTCATTCCAATCCATAAATGTTCCCGAGTAATAACAATTCACTTGTATTTCTTAAAACATCATAAATATATGGTTCTAGTATTTTTTCAATGTATTGAAAAAGTACCCAAATTAGCAGCATATATTCATTTTCCTTATGTATAATTCATAGTAATTGTTACTCAAACGGCAAACTTTTGCTAGCGTCCGTCATTTATTTTACACTATATAATAAATTTAAAACATAGATCTAATGTCTTATAATTTTCTCGATATTTAAACTAGGAGTTTTCTCTTAGTTGATAACTCATAAAAATTTCAAATCATTTATTGCAGAAAGATTTTTCTCATGTTCTATATTTTGAACATTTCAAGATGTAAAGTTATTTTATTACATATAACTATACATATATATATATATAACACATTAATTTCAAAGATTATGTTACCAAAATGGTGCACAGTTAATATTTTCACTTAATTGTACAGATTCTAAGAACATCAACAAAATATACTCAAAGGAAAAACTTAACTGACGAACATCAAATCAATATATTAATAAATCCGGGAGAAACTCCTTACACATATTACATGTTTATGACAAACAACAACAACAGTAAAGATGACACTAAAGTTTAGTACAAAACGAGAATCAACAGCTGAAATTCTGAAAGAGATCATCAGCTTAAAGACAACAACACAACAACAATAATACAATAGAAAATCCATGTTTTATTCTTTCCCCGGAGATTGCTCTTACAACTACACCATGGATGATGTTCAACACCTCTTCTTCTTATTGCTCTTGTTGTTCTTGCTATTTTTTTTATGATTCTGCAATGCATAAGATTCAACGAACATGAAAGTCATGTAAATTAATATGTGTCTGCGTGTAAAATTTCAATGATAAAGATTAAATTAAACCTTTGAAGCACTTTCTGAAGGGACTTTGTAGCGGTCCATTTCAATTTCCCCCAACCACATTCCAGGAGTTACTTGCTGAGAAAACACCAATTAATAAACAAGAAACAAAACTAGGTGATTAAACATTTAAGGCAAAGAAATATTAACAAATCAAGAGTATTAATTAATCACAGACTTACATCAATGTCTCTCTGCACTCTTGGTGTTCTTCTTGAAGATGGGTGTTTCCTTTGAGGTCTAGATCCAACTCCAAGAGCAAAAAGATCCTCTGCAATCTCGTGAGGTGCTAGTTGTACATTGACTTTGGGAATTTTGAGCTCTTTAACCTTTTCCTCTTCTTCTTCATCTTCATCTTCCAGTTGATCATTTTTCCTTTTCTTTAATGGTTCTTTCCCTTTTCCTTTTCCTTCTTCTTTCTTCTTCTCATCATCTTTCTTTTTCTCCACATCAGCACCATTTTTCTTGTTTTGCTCCTCATCCTTGTTTAGCACCTGATCAGAATTTCTCTTGTTACCACTATTTTTGAACTCTTCACCTTTTGTACCTGCAATTTGCTTATAGTTTGGCTCCTTTAAATACTCCCACTTGTCTTTAGTTGAGGGATTTGAGTTATTTTTGTCCAAGTTCAAATCATGGTGAAGATCAGAATGATTTGGCTTTGTATCCTTCAGATTCAAAATTTTAACATTCAAATCATTTGGATCCCCATCTTCATCCATTGATTTGTACTTCACCTCATCCCTTCTTTTTTTCATTGGCAGTAGTAAAGTTTCAAGTTTTTTTTCTTCATTCCTTTGGCCACCTTCCTTCCTTGAACAACGAACATAGGTCTTGATTGGCATTTCTTCTCTCTTGTAGCTTTTCCCTTCCGAATCTTCATAACTCATTTTCTCTTTCATGATTTCAGAAATATTTTTCTCTTTAGCAAATTCATCTTCACCATCATCATGTTTATCATCCATTTTCACAGGAGAGAAAGCTTTGTCAAGCTTTTTGATTGGCCATTCCTTTGAAGGCTTAAAACCCGCTTTTCTGAAGTTTGAATTAGTTGTGTTCTTGTCATCCTCATCATTATCTTCAGTGAATCCTTTATTGAGCATTTGGGAATCATGGTGACAACTATCATGAGATGACCACATTTGGGAAGGAGCTCCACTAGAGTTTGAGATTTTGATATGGAAATCCGGTGGGTTTTCAGCTGCAGAGATAGAAGCATCCCTTGATAGCGGATGTGGTGATGTGAAAATCATATTGCTAGATTCAACATAGGCTTCTCCAGTTGATATAGGCAATTGAGATGGGCTCATAAGAACCTTCATGCCTGCAGGTTGAACCTGAGTTTCTCGAGGAGAGTTATGCCCATACCGGTTTAATGGTATACTAGATGATCTTGATATCACACCTGCATCTCTGAAAGTGGTTTGTCTAGATTGTCCATCGGATGGTACATATGGCCTAGAATATCTCCCACCACTGTCTCTAGGAGGGGTTCTTCTAGATGATTGATGGTCATGTGATGGTACCCTAGCTGGTCTTGAACCCCCACTAGATGACTGGTACAATGATTTTGAACTCCAACTACTATCTCCATGAGAGGTTTCTCTAGAAGATTGGTGTGATGAAATCCTGGATAGCAATGGTGGTTTGGAGGACAAATAACCACTATCTCGATGCAGGGTTTCTCCAGAAGATTGTCGATGGTGCGATGATGTCCTGGATGGTGTGTGTGTTATTGAACCTTCACTATCTCTATGAAGGATTTCTTCTCCATATGGTAGGGGACATCTTCTTAGAATCCTGCCATCTTGGGCTACAAGGTTTTCTCCAATCCATTTGGGCCATTCCTCAACTTCTGGAGCTGATTGAGGTAAAACATCGCCATATTCAGATATATGTCGGTGTGGTCGTCGCGAGTCGGATGTTGCCAATGAGGTTGGAGATCTGTGCCTTCTGTGAAGTCTACTGTGAGCATGCCTACCATGTCTTTCATTGACGTTTGAGCCCTGGCTCCTTGTTCTTTCCCATTTTAAGTCATCAGGCAGGTTGAAATTGTGAAGTGATGACCTCTGGCGCCTAGGTGAAGAGTCACTCATATTTCAAAACCTTTGAGCTATTTAACACCTTTGCAAAAAATAGAACAATTTAGTTGAATAGTTACAGAGGAAGAATTATTTCGAGAACAAGTAGGATAGAAATTAAATTCATATGAAAACCTAGCTAGTAATGCATATCATTTTTTGCAAATTTAACAAGCAGATAAAAAGTGAAGAAAAAATGTGACATTAATTTCATATGGAAATCTTGTAGCTTTATATAAATGCTGGTGGTTGCTTGTATATATGCATAGATTCATTCTGAGAAAAAGATCTAAGCTGTATATGTGAAAAGAAAAAAAAAACACAGATTATTTTAATCTGTTAAATTGAACAAAATCTTTGAGTTCTTTAACACCTCCACAAAAATGAAACAGTTTAGTTGAATCATTCTAGGGTAAGAATCATTTTTTCATGAACAAGTAGATCAGAACGAAATCCATATAAAAGCTTAACTAGTGATACAGTTAATTAGAAAATTAACAAGCGGATATAAATTAGGAAAAGGATATATTTAATTTCACATGGAAATGTCCTGTAGTTGTATATAAATGTCGGTGGCCATATGTATATATCCATAGATTCATTCTGAGAAATAGATCTAAGCTAATACAGATATGCAGGGAAAGATTAACAATATACAACATCATGTAATCGATTGAATTAACAAAGACATGATTTCCTTGTGAAAACTATAGATACAGATCAATATGCTTGGTTATAGAAAGAAATCTAGCACACTTATGCTAAACTTTATCAATTAGGTAAATAAAACTTACAGGGGTGAATGATTTAGTAAACTGAATTGAGTCTCCTAATACTTGATTTACTGTAATGAATTCCTTTCCATTTCATCCTCGAAATACAACGCTTGTGAATGTAAGAACACCTAGAGCCAAAAAAATCCAAATCCAGATAACAAGAAAAAAAAAATTAAAGGACAAAAGTTTTGGGTATAAAGGGGTTATCAAAAGAAATGAGCTTTTTTTTCTGAACCATAGGAAGCCAATGACACACCTCTATCTCTATTAATTTGTTCATCAAAACAACACAAAGGGTTTAATCAATGACAGTTGATGAGATAAAATTAAGACGTAAAACATCACATATAGAGATTACCATCACAAAGGAGACCCTTCTGTATGAAGATGATTACATAAGTAATTGAGTCTAAAAATGTGAAAGTGTGTGTGTTAATGTGAGTGTGTGTGCATTATTTACTAACCTTACAAGAGATATCTCTACATAAAAATTAACACTGTCTGAAAACAAAATCTTGAATCAAAAGAAAGGATATCATTTGAAGGCTAAAGAAGAGAAGGAAAATTTCTCAACTAATTAAGAATATTTTGCTTGGCTGGAGGAGTGAGAAAGAAAGAGCATCAAAGGGTCAGTTATATAGGGAGTCGAGTAAGGGACAAGACATTAATTACACTGTGATTTTTGTCCTCAATTAGACAAAATTACACATTTACCCTTAACTTTATGAGATTTACATAATTTAAATTTGGATTCTCAGCATTTAGAAATGATAGAGGTAGTAAATTTATTCAGTGAAATGGTTCAATAACACACTGGACACGAAAGACACATGAACCGTTCTAATATATTTCATTTTTAACATAAAATATAATAATTAGACTACATATTTATAATTTCATATGATATTGCAAGGTTTAATAAGTCTTTTAATTCTGAATTCACCACTTTTATCATTATTTGTGGACAAAATATGTAAAACTTGTGAAATTAAGAGTGGTAAACGAGAGATGTATGCAAGAGGTGGGAGTAACACGTGTTGAGGTCTTGGTTAATGCTGATATGTTTTTAAGAAAATCCATTTATGAGAGGCATCTACTTTTACTGTTTTAGTTTGCGAACCTAGTTTTTCTTTCCGGTATCTTTATACGTTACAAAATCATTTTTCGACCCACCTCAAAGTGATTCTTTTTTAGCTAAATTTAAGGATTGATGATATAGTTATTTTTTGTATCCTAATTGAAATTCATGTTCAATGAATATATCTTCCACAAAATTAAATTAATTAGCAATGATTAAAGGATCTTTAATCAGGTCAAAATTTAAATATTTGAGATCATTTATCATGGTGGTAGAATAAAAAAACAGTAATGCAAATCTCTAGAGCACACAAATTCTTAAGAGAAAAGATACAACTACAATATTATGAGATCCTCCGAATTATGATACATTATACAGTAATAAGTTATTAGCTTAATTTACAATTTATGAAGTTTAATTAAGTTAATAATATGATTATCATTCAATGCACAATAAGTAATGTATGGTAAATATCTCCTTTGAGCCGTACGGTTCTACTCTTGTCATAGTCATCACTCTCCCTGAATAAGAAATAATTTTACAACCGTTGGATAGGAATAAGTGATGTACATCCACATATAAATCCAAACTTTTTCTTGAAAAAAGTTGGAAAATTCTGTTCACATTGTTAGAGTAATTATGACGATGATATCATAAAGCATCAAAGCTGGCTTGGATGACCGCTCTAACCATTTTTTTATTATTTTTTTTAGAGTAAAGGTTACCCAATGAATCTGTGCAGACTCCCGTCTTTTATACATAATATTTGCAATATTACAAACGTGGGTTTCATATCAAGCAATTTTAGATATCGTATGTAATCAAACAATTTTTACCAGTGTAAGCAATCTGTTAGTTAAATAGGCATATGCATCTCTTTTGAACCCAAAAAAAAAAAAAAAGTTACTTTGCTATTGTATGATTTGCATGTCAGCTGGCCTCCACTTAGTCAAAATTAAGGCGGTCAAAAATGATATGACAGGCCCCTGCCTAATACGTTGGTTTAATTCAGGCAATGTATATTTGAATTAACTAATTGATCCAACCCTAATTATCTATCATCTTCGCAAAGTAGGCAAAACTCTTCATGCATTCTTGTTATTATTAGTTGTTTGGAAAAAAAATTTCCTTGTGTTAATAATAATAATTACAAGTTTTAGATATTTGTTTGGCTAGTGAGCTTAATCTTTTCATCATTGTATCAAAAATCAAAATCTACACAAGATGAGAAGGGAAAATCTAGGCGTAATGAAAATCATTCCCAAGGTATACTTGTATACAGATGGTGATCAACCAAAGACAATAGACCATGAAGTACGTACTGATTAAGGGCATCCAAAAACTACAATAAGAGGGATTGGACTGACCCTAAGAAATGTAATAGAGAAGCAAATTTTGTAACTATATGGCCGATTTAGCAAACTAAACCCAGTGGGGCCTATATTGGCTAGCCATGATCCTCCATGTTAAAGAGTTGGATATGGTTTGATCGATCATTTAATAAGAAATTCGGATCAATGTAATCTAATTGTCTATGTGAAGGGTTGTACCTTCCAAAAAGAAAGTAACTATTAGATATGAACATTAATAGCCTAGCTAAATAATGATTATAATGTTAGGAAATTTGACATATACATTGCTATAAGGTCTTGCATGCGTAAAAAAATAAAAATTAAAAAAAAGATCTTGCAGGCGCGCATGAAGATTAATGCTTTTAACCATATATATTAAAACATGATGATTTCTGCATATGTGGTGAAATTGTTAGATGATCTAATCTTTTAATTTAATATATTTAAACGTAAAAAAATTTAAATTTAACTGATAAATATTGATGAATCTTATTGGTTACAATTAGTTATAAAAAAAATCTTAAACGAAAATCTAAAAATCAAAACTTTGAACAACTTATTGAACTAATCTTATCCATGATATTGAAATATATAATTTGTAGTGATCATCCTACATGGTCTTTTATTATTTTAGAACAATAGATAGTTTGTTAAAATCATGTGTTTAGAGTTTGAGTATTGTCAGGAATTCCGGCCTACAAGATCAGGCCCAGGGAGTTCTAAGATCGAGTCAAGTAAGTAAGTAGGAACACATCTCAACCTAAAACCTGGAGGTAATATGGTTTGGGATTAACTTACTTATCAGTTACTCTCTATTACTCCCAGATGGGACAACTAATGTACTCATGATCTTAACGATCTCCCCCGTCATGAGTAACTCACCACATCAAAGCACCTTTTCTCTAGTATATACAAGAAAAAAGAGCTCGAGCAAAAGCTATCTTGGAGGATCTACTCCTATGATAAGGTTTTTTTTATATTTAGATATATGTTGTAAAACCACATCAATAATGAACGTATATAAACTAAAATGCCTAAAATTAACACATAGCTATGAGTTTCAGCTCATGAGAAAACTAATGTATTTGTCTCCCTTTAAGTATCTCCCAAAATTAATCATAAAATTGCCATTTTGGATGTTTAAAGTTTGAAGAGATCCACCGCAATCAAGAAATTTAGCTTATTAATATGCATCTGGCAACTGGCAACTCTAATCCAGCAACCTGTTGCAATATTATGATTTCTTAATTAAGTTTGCATAGCCCACATTGAAGAACTGTCAAAATACTAAAAACTAGTACGATAGCTAGTGGACGTCCAAATTAACATACGTTAACAATGCTTACAAATTAGGTTTATTGGTAAGATGACTTTTAGATTATAGGTTGACAAATCTAATAATTTCTTGCGTAACTAATAATGAATATGTTTTTCTTTTCTTGGAAAAATTATTCAGTATGTATTCATTGAGTACTTACTTTGCCATATGCAATGGGAGATAGAAATCTTAACAAAATTATCATTAGGGTACAAACTTCTGCCTAACGATCCAATTCGGTAATTTTACTATTTAGTAAAAGTCCAGGGGATAATCTCAAAAAATCCATTTAAGTCAACTTGATAGTAGTGAATCGAACGTATAGATGGCTGCCATTAAGAAATTTCATTCGAGGTATGCATGCTTAAACACAGGCTTTCAATCGTTACGGATTAATGAAAGCGAGCTCTTACGGTTCTACTTTTTCCTCTTGGAATAAAGTGTTCGATTCTTTAATAAAGGATCGAATGCTCACCAATTGATGTGGCGATAAATATACATATACAGCACTTAGTGTAGATGTAGCTGATGAAAATATCTCCACTCATGAGTACAATTACAAAACCATAAACAAAGTAAGCTTATTTATTAAAGTTTACATATTTTGTTGCGGTTAGAATGAAGGAAACTAACCCAAAAGCTTAAACTAACATGTTATGTGATAGGAAATGTTGACCATATCATACCTATTTCAACCCAAATTACCTCCTACATGTGAATCATAAAGTCTCATAAAGTTCTCAACATTTGTATTTCTTGTACAAGACGAGAATAAATTATATCACAAAATATGCTCAAGAAAATGAAAATAAAACGTACGCGTAGAGAAAAATATAGTCATTAAAGTTTTCCCAAACATCTAAAGAAGAATATCTTTAAACATTCGTAGCAAAACTAAATGTTTCCTGTGGCACTAATCCAAGAACTGACATTTTAACAAAAGATGTACCTAGCTAGGGAGCATTACCTGATTTTATTAATTATAAAAAATGAAGTACATATAGTGTTTAAGACTTACCCAAAGAAAAAGAGTCTATCGTACAAAGATTTTCTGAAATCCGATGAGAGCTCATGCTTTAACAAATTAAACTAGTGTTTTCCTTACAAAGATTTTCTATAAACCCCTTGACAGCTCTAGGTAAACAAAACAGAAAGAAAAACAAGGCCCTAACTATTACATTAGAGCCTATTCTAAGTTGATATTATCTTACTTGGAATTATAGGAAAGACTTTTGATCACGGTACAAAATTCATGTCAAGGAATGTGGAAGCTTTGTTAGAATATTTCATATGAAAAGTCATGTGATGCATGCTTGTTTTGATAGTGCTTCAGCTAAGGCGTTGATCTCTTTAAAGATATGTTGAATTTGAAAACCAGTACGATTTAAAATTTTGTTAATTTCACTGGGAGATACTTGATGTTTCCATGGAAAATTCTGTCCCTTTTGCAGAAGTTGTACCACTATCTTACTATATATGTTTGAACTTTCACATTTGGTAGTTCTTGTTCTTCACACACTTTGACCTCCTCCAAAGATTTTGTTTGTAGCTTATGAGCACTTAAAACTATGGAGACATTAGTTCTAATCTCACGAAGTATGAATTCGAAGGAAAAGGACATACCTTTATGAAAACATTTATTCCGTGTTTTTTATAATTCCCATAAAATAAAAGCCAGGATGATAATGGTTATGAATTTCTTAGCTGATTTGAAGTCTCCAACAAAGTACCATGCTTGTAAATAACTCCACAGACCTGCATTAAAAGGTAGAAAAATTCCAAGTAAAGCTGAAAAATAACTCCATATTTTTCTTACTTGATAGCATTCAAAAGATATATGACGT